ACTTGCAATTTACAATAAATAATTAAAAACAAATTATTTTTTTTAATATATACGTACGTATTAAAGTTAAAATAATATCCATATATATAGTCAAAAATTAAAATATAGTATATACTGTAATAAAATTTAGTAAAAAAATTTTTTGAAGTGGTTTATAAACAAAGTTTTGTGATATTGTTTATTTTTTAAAAAATATAATATTATATAAAATTAATTAACCTAATCTTAAATTTCAATTGGCCCTGACGATCACTCGTACCAAACTTACGACTAACGAAAACAGAAACTTGCTGGAGAAAAGTAAAAGAGACAACTATACAAGTAACGGTTTTTACAGAGGTCAAGGGTCTTCTGGGTTCTTTTGTTTTTTCTCGAACTCCTTTGTATATTCAGCAAGCAAGTTAAAAGTGTTCTTGTACAAGATAACTGGCAGGAGGTGGCGCTTGCGTACAAAAAATTTTAATAGAAGCATATGCTTTTGCTGACGAAGTTAAAGTATAGTTGGTCTAGGAGAACAGCAAGCGAGTTTTCAATACACTCTCTATCGAAGTTTAAGGCTACCTGCTAACCGAAACCCTTTAAAAACACACCACTCTTTGCACTTCATGAAATTTCACCAAAAAGTAGAAAAAACGACATACCCCTATTAAAAAATCAACAAAAACGAACACTACTGAAAAAGAAAAGTCACGTACAGAAGTACGTGTCTACTTTGGGATAAATAATGTATGATCGGTCATTTCTCAAAAAGTTATAGTGTTAGGACCCAGAGTAGAGATACGAACCGCTCGGGGTCCTACAGTGCCTGCATCGAGACCAATTTTGAGTTGCTAACTTTGCCCAGGAATATAATTGAACTGTGAATATGTTGCAGAAGTTTTACGGAGCTATGCGATTTGAAGTTTCAAACTTGGATCTTTACTCAAGATCGGATGGTTTTCTGAAGAAGTTTTTACATCCTAGATATAGACATAAATGACTAATATAGAGGTTGATTTAGTTCATTTAGTAGTACTATATAATGTTTTTAGTCCGGCACAGGCTTAATAGTGCCATCTTTGTTTTCTTTTCTTTGTTTTGTTTTCTTTCTTTTGTTTGGTTTATTTTTAGATGGGTTGGTTTTGTTGATGAGCATATTTCCTCTTTTTATCTACCCTTTTTCTTTTGTGTTTGTATTTCTCTACTAATAAGAAAAGCCAATATTGATGCTTATAGCTTGCAGTCACCAGCCAAGGATTGAAGGGAAAAAAGTCCTTAGGTAGTTTTGAACCCGGATTGAAACTAATGACTGCTGAGGCAGGCCACATTGGGCATATAGCTTGGTGAGCTGTTGTTCAGAGGATTATATATAGTTAGAAGAGAAATTCTTGTAATTTTTCGAATAGTCTTTAATTATAAATAAATAGCAGCAGGCAGCCGAATTATAAAAAAATAAATTTCAATTGGCTAATTGTATAATAATATATTAAAATTAAGAAAATTTCTAATTTATACTACAGGTGATTATCACTTATAGTAAAATTATCTTAAATTTTTGCTTATGAAACCACTTTTGAGGCTCTAAGTAAAAAAATTTCTTGTAAAATTTTACTATAAGCTTTACTAAACTCTAACCTTAATATGAGCTTTGACATTTACTCTAAATTCCCAACAAAAATATTTTTTTATTTATTAAATCATTTATTTATTTGTTTATATTACACAACATTATATATTATAAATCACAGGTGATTATCACCTGTGGTGTTTATTAGTTATTTTTTAAAATTAATTATAAAATTTAAAATTAAAATTTTTAATATTTTTTTATTTAATAAAGATATTAAATAAATAGTAAAAACTAATACAATACAGTTATATAGAAAGTATTTATATAAGAATATAATTGTAAAATAATATAAAATTAGTATTAAATAAGTTTATTTAAAGAAATATATATAAAGTTATAAGGTTGATTTGTTTTTAGATTCACACCATCTAACCAAAGCTTATAGATTTGTTTTATAAAGATTAAAAAAAAATTTCATTTGCCAGTTTTTCTCTAACTTAAAATTTGAAATGAATGATATCTTTGTTAGTATAAGGTTATAAATAAATATATATTAATCATATATTTTAGTAGAGTTAAACCATTTAAAACTTAATATTATATAGACAGCTAACTCTATTATATAATTATTGATAAATCTAATTTACAAGATATATCAAAATTACCTCAAAGTTATATTGTATTTCTACTTTACTCCAATTGTCTGGAGTTATAAATTTCTTTACAATAGTCAAAAAAGTAATCATTTCAAATTGTTTATCATTAATTGGCAACTCAATTTTATTAAGAATTCTCTATACAAAAAAATTACAGCTTGTTGCTAAGCAAACATTATATAAACAAAAAAACTGGTCCAACAATTCAGTTATTAGTTTATTAGGTTTTTGAGAATAAGAAGTAAGATTTACTAAAACAGTATAATTATGAAGGTTGTGGTTTTTGATATTAGTAACATTAATTAGTAGTTCAGAATAAAACATTTTTGAAGAATAAATATTTTGTTTATATCAAAGTATATATGGGGCATATCAAACTAAAATATGGTTTATCCCTTAAACTGTAATCCAGGCAAATTTGCCTGAAAAATTAAAGTATATTTAGTATTTTTTAAATAAAATAATAATTTAT